GCTCAGAGGCTGGAGCAGCTCTGCTCTGGAGCCAGGCTGGGAGAGTTGGGGTGTTCAGCCTGGAGAAGAGAAGGCTCCAGGGAGACCTGAGAGCACCTTCCAGTGCCTGAAGGGGCTCCAGGAAAGCTGGGGAGGGGCTTGGGACAAGGGCAGGGAGGGAGAGGACAAGGGGGAAGGGATGAAAACTGGAAGAGGGAGATTGAGGTGAGACATGAGGAGGGAATTGTGGAGTGTGAGGGTGGTGAGAGCCTGGGCCAGGTTGCCCAGGGAAGCTGTGGCTGCCCCATCCCTGGCAGTGTTGAAGGGCAGGTTGGATGGGGCTTGGAGCAGCCTGGGCTGGTGGGAGGTGTCCCTGCCCATGCAGGGGGGTGGGAACTGGATGATCTTGAAAGTCCCTTCCAACCCAAACCATTCTATGATAAGATTCTATGAAATGACACCTCTGAGAGTATCTGCAGATCTACCTGAAGCACACCTGCAGCCCTGCTGCCTTTCCCCTGTGCTCCCTGGACCAGGACAACTCCACTGATCTACCCGAATCTGATAGGCAGGAAAACAACACGAAGCCCTGAACTTGTTCTGCCTGCTCTGCTGTTGCACTGCAAGCTGCTTAATGCATGGTCATTGCTCAATGGTGTCTACATGCTTGATGGACTGATCTCCTGTGCTTTCTTCTTGCAGGAACAGCCTGCATGCATTTCAGGGGAGCACCTTCTGAGCCCTGGAATTATTTTATAGGAGGTGGAAGAAATGAGAAAGGACTGAAAATATGTGTGATGTGAAAGGGAGTGTGGATTAGTGGGTAGAGCACAGAGCAGGCAATTAACAGACAGGTTCCCTGCTCCCAGTTTGGTTGGAGTTGTGAGAACTGGGGCCAGTGAATCATGAGCTGGTTGAGCTAATTCTCTATGAGTCTCCATGACTTCATCAGTCACTGGTGTTTGAAACTCTGCTCTGGAGCCTGTCTAAAGGAGTGCCCCAGGGTTGACTTAACTGTTTCTCTCCTATTTAGTTTGAAATGGACCCAATTTTTCACTATTTCCATCCTGGGGAAATTATTTTTTTGCAGGTACCCACCCATGAAGGTTTCTGTGCAGCACAGTGGAAACCCTTTGGGACAAGCAATTAACTTCCCAGACTTCCTGGTGTAAATACAATGAAAAAAAAAAAGAAGCTCAAAACAGGTACAAAAACCATTGTGGAATAATGAAATCAAATTGAGACTTTAGAAGGGTTAAAATTTTATATCTATATAAAGAATGAGGAAGCAAAAAGGCTGCATCATGATTTCAGAAGAAGTTTCTTATTTGCTGAAAAATCTCAGTCAGTTCCACAGCACATGCCTCAGTTTCCCTAATTGCTACATGGGGTTAGCAACCCAGACCTATTTTGCAAAGGTGTTGTCAGGTTTAATTTGTGAACCTTTGAAAAAGGCTCTGAGTTTTCAGATGAAAGGCCCTGCAGATGCCAAACGTGGGTGTATCCTCTGAGTCAGAGGCACAGACATGGGCAGATTGTGTGATCAGCTCATCCCAGAGCACCAGATAGGAGCCAGTTGTCTTCTGCAGGGAGTTTAGGGATGGTTGGTGCAGAAAAGCACAGCTGGTGCTTACACAAGTGTGAAGTCATGGCACAGAAATCAGAAGCCACCCTCTGGGAGGTGCAAAGTCTGCAATAAATGGACATCCAGGCTGTATTTAGGTTGGCTCCTGAATTGCCTGAAGGACACGTGTGTGCACAAGTCTTCTAAATAGGGCTGGGAACTGAAGCACAACCTGTCTAACAACCCACCCTTTAACTAACAACCCACCTTGTAACTAACAAACTGCCCTGTGACTCCAGTGAATCCCAGGCAGAACTTCCCAGTGCTTGTGAGCACGGACAAGACCCTGCACGTGTCAGGTGTGAATAGCAGAGTTGCCAGAAATAACAAGAGACAAGTGGGCCCCACGTGCAAATCAGTTTTTCTGGAATGAAAAAGACATGCTGAGGTGTGAGGAGGTGCAGGCAAAGATGGGGAAGAAGAGTGGGCTTGGCCTTTGGGTACAGAGCAAAGCCACAGGCCCAGGACACGTGGCAGTGGTGAAGCATGGAGCTCTTGCTGGTCACCTGGGAGCCTGCCATGGTTGCACAGGTATTTGGAAGCAGGATCAAGGTGCTAATGCCAAGCAGGTGGGATGCTGAGGGTGAAAGGGGACCAGTGAAAGTGGGTGGCATCATGCAGAAGTGACTGGCAGCAGTGGGGAATGTTCCTTCACACACAAGCGACAGACTCAAGGGAGGTTCAGCCCAGAGTGCTGGCAAACAGATTCCTCTTCAGGAAATCCAGTTGGCTCCATTAGTGCAGCATCTGCACAACCTCCCTCTTTCTGTCTGACACAGAGGATTTAAGCTGAGGAGCCTCCAAAATGAAGCAGCAAGGAGAGATACCACCCAAGTCATTCAGAAGCCAATGCAGAACCTTCAGCTTTACAGAACATGTTGTCTGACAACAGCCCATCTGAGTCTGACTGGAGCAGCATGTGGTGACAGACATGGCAACATCTTACACCTTGAGCATGGCCATTCTTCACCAGTCCTGCAACCAATGGAGCAGCTAAAGCCATCAAGGCAAAGCACAGCCACAACCTGACCTACTGGAGGGTGCCAGCCCTGCACGTGCCTCTGCACGGAGAGAAGAATCAATAACAAAGTTAATCCTGAGCCCAGTTACTCCCAAGTCTGCCTGGAATAACTGCATTAACCTCACTTACTCTGCATTTGCACCAGCAAAACCAAAATGAAAAAATCCAATCCTCAATCTTTTGGTTGCCTTTCTCCAAAATCACACACAAACCCCTTAACAAAGTGTCAGAAAACCAAGAGAAAACAAGGCCACCATTTTCCAAGTTAGACCTCCTGATAGAGATGTTTTCTTTTGTTTCTTAAGTATTAGAAAAGCTCTACTGAGTCTTTTCTGTACATGAGAAGAGGCTCCTCCATCCTTCAGTATTTTTAATTACCTGCAGATCTGTAGGGCTGTTGATGGAAAGATCAGCTCAGCCCAGGAAGCCAGGGGGAGGAAGAAAGACAGATCTGTCAGCCAACCTTTTCCTTTTATGAAATTGGCTTTAAAAAAGAATAGCATTGCCCTTTCTTATGCCAGAGAATGACTTCTGACTCATGAAAGGTTATACTCCTAGTAATAAAAAACTGCCCATTAGAAATGCCAGCAAAAGGCTCAGCCTTTCCCAACAACTGTTCTTAAAAAAATACCCTAAAAGTGCATAATTTCTCATATCTAGAGATCCATCATGACTAAATGGCAGTAAGAGGGGCTGGGTCTATGAGCCAGGGGATCTTCAATGCATTTCAGTGGAAGGGAAAGAAAAAAAGTCTCTTTCCTTTTCTCTCGTTGTGCACAGACAAAGCCCTTAGAAACTGTCAGACAGACACTTCCTGGCTCTCTCATTCTCATATCAGATCAAAACTTGATGCTGTTCCTGGTTTGGGCTGCACCTCCTCTTTCCTCCACACCTAAAAAAGAGCTTGCAAAAGGCAGACCCGGATTTTTCTTCCCCTGCTTGCTTCCAACAGGGCTTTTGTGACAGTTTTCTAATGAGAACTTGTTACAGGCTGAAAATCACATTTTCCAGCAACACCATCATTGTGTTCTGTGAAAATTAAATTAAGCACAAATCTCAGGCATCATTCATTTACACCCTGGGCATTAATCTCAGAGCAATCTCGCTGAAATTCAGAATAAAATCTATGTTAAATTGCTATAAGTGGAACTTCAACTCTTTAGAGGTTGATGGGATTCACCAGAGCTTATAAAGAGCCTTTTCTCTTTCTTCTGGAATCTTCTGTGACTCCAACAAGTTGAAGATTTCCCAGCTAGTGGAAACAGATCCATTTTTAAAACTCTAAGTTGTTTTCTCTTCCAAGAAACATTTTGGCCATCACAACAAGTTGAAGATTTCCCAGCTAGTGGAAATAGATCCATTTTTAAAACTAAGTTGTTTTTTCTTCCAAGAAACATTTTGGCCATCAGTAAAACCCTTGTTAAAATATTTCCTCTTCCAGGTATGTTACAAATAAGCCTCTCAGTTCAGTGGACATTTATGGGAAGAGCTACCTAAGGTAACCCTCCCCTTCCTCCTAATCCATGCAAGGATACAGGCCATGGAGGTTTTATCCTGCTGGTTACACCAGTGGAGATGCCATGGCCTGTGGAAAAAACAGGCCATGCCAATTTTTCCTGCAGGTCAGCCGTGTTGTTCTGATGTATGGTTGGGTTATTTCCAGGTCTAGATGGATGGACCTTGCACAAGCCCAACATCAAAATCAAAATCAAGATAATCAAGCCTTTTAAACCCAGTATTATCCATCCATTTCCCCTCCCTGTCCTCCTGAATCCAGCAAGCCCTGAGGGGCACCCAGCTGAAGAATGTTGTATTCCGGGCGTTCATTTTAATTACAACCCTAATTATTTTTGTGCATGTGTATGACCCAGTTAAGAAACCCATCTTCAACATCTCATGGTCTCTCCTACCCTGTGAGGAGCTATAACCTCAGCTCCTGGCAACAATGAGCCCAAGTATTTTTGAAACAAGTGGTCAAACTGGTTGCTACATCTTAAAGGGCTTTTTTTAAAAAAACAAAACAAAACAAAAAAACACAACAGTTTTCTGGATATAAACAGCCCTTCCTCCCAAACCTGGTTAGACAAGAATGTTCCTGGGTGTGGACTGCCTTGTATAATTAACTGCACAGCTGTAGCTTCTGATCCCTCCTAACGTCTGTTTCTTTCTTGCTCCCTGCGTCCACCCAGCAGGATCCAGGCGTTCTCCTCCTCCCAGGAGCTCCAGGTGCGTCCCTTGGGCAGAACCTTTGCTGCATTCCAGAGTCACTCCTTGCTGAGACAACGACAGGGCAGACGTAGCAGCTTTGGAGAGGGCTGAGAGACAGGAGCTGGAGGGAGAGACCCAGCAGTGAAGCTGCTTTGCCCTGCTCAGACGATGGAAACAGCGAGCGCAGCGAGGACAAACGGGACCGCTGGGAAGCCGGAGGACGTGAAGAGTCCGTCTGCCCCCAAAAAGGAAGAAGAAGCAAAGAAGACCACAAGCCCAGGAGGTGGTGAGAAGGAACCTAACAAGGGCACTGGTAGTGCTGCTTTGGAAACAGGGCAAATCAAGAGCTCCCTGTTCTCTGGGAGTGACTGGAAGAGGCCCATCATCCAGTTCGTGGAGTCGTCCGATGAGAAGAGGTCCTACTTCAGCATGGACTCGGCAGATTCCAAGAAGATGCAGTATGGCAGTGGACAGATAGGGGACATGAGGAGACCACCCCTCTCCTTTGCAGAGAAAGGTGATCTCAGGAAGTCCCTCTTCTCCTTGGATTCCAAAAAGAGCTTCCTGCCAAGTGAAGGGGAAGGGAGGAAGTCATTGTTCTCTGGGGGGCAGATGGGGGACCTGAAGAAACCTTCCCTCCCTCTGGTGGAGACGGGGGATCTGAGAAGATCCACCTTCAACAAGCCTGACAGAGCAGCTGGGTCACGGCCCAGGGTGAAGCTTGAGGATGTTCTGTGTGATTCCTGCATTGATAACAAGCAAAAGGCCGTCAAGTCCTGCTTGGTGTGCCAGGCTTCCTTCTGTGAGCTGCACCTCAAGCCCCACCTGGAAGGAGCAGCTTTCCGGGACCACCAGCTCCTGGACCCCATCAGGGACTTTGAAGCAAGAAAATGCCCTGTGCATGGGAAGACCATGGAGCTGTTCTGTCAGACAGACCAGATGTGCATCTGCTACCTCTGCATGTTCCAGGAGC